ATTTATATACATATATGGAAGAAGACAATGGTAACTACTTCCATGCTGGTGGCAAGAAAAGGACATGGGTATGTCCATGGTCACCAGAAATCAAACTTGACTTGATCTTCTTTGCATCATACATACACACACACACACACACTTCCAATAATATTAAAAAGGAAGTTGGCATAAGGCAGTGAACTTGAAAATCCTGAGGTAATTATATCTTTTAGCACTCATACAACAATAAAGATTGTGCCAGACAAAAGTTTCTGGGAAAGGTCTTCCCTCCCTCTCTCCCTCAGTAAACCTGTCAGTTTACAAACCCTATAAAACCAATCAGCACATATTAACAGCAAAAATCTCACTATCCATATTGCAGTGACTATACTCATTATTACAATTAATGAACATCTATTGAAACTCTGATTCCTTTTCTGAATACTATGGAGAAAGGAGACCCTCTCTGGATCTCTGGAAGTAGATTGGTCCATAACGTTGACAACCTAATTCTTCCCAACTTCCATGGGAGGCATGGCAAGCTAAACATGTCTCCGGGAGAGTGGAGATGATGACTGTGGCAAAGACCAAAGAACTAGTGAGTTCTTTGGAACATCTCTGGACAAGGAGAGGACAGGAGATCACCCATGTGCTCCAGATGGCTGCTTCTTATGAGGAGACTGCATTACAGTGGTCTCCCACAGGTTTAAGTGCCAGGAGACAAAGGGACCAGTCATCAAGCTCACAACCATGGTGGAACCTTTTGAAGGACACTAAGTTCTGTAACCTCACTTTCTTTCTTTCTTTTTTTTTTTAACCAAGGCAAAGTTTATTTATTTTATTAATCAAATTTATATGCTGCCCATCTCACTATATAAGTGGCTCAAGGTGGCTTACAAGTAAAAAAGCAATAAAAAGTGATAAAAGTCTTTACATCTAATCACTTTTGGAAATTGCTTATTTGACCATCTTAAAGCTGTTAGAGATCTTCAGAATGACAAGGCTGAAAAGCCATCTGGTGAGTCTATCTTCATTTCCAAACAAAAGAAAAATTAACTATAAGTTTAAGAATTTCAAGAATTTCAAATAAATGGCAAAAAACTAAATAAGATTTTGAAGTAAGAAAGTTATAAATGAATTAAAGGTCCAGACAAATTTGGAACATTGAAAATTTTTGCAATAAAATTTTGGAACTAACTATATAAAATAAACAGCTTTTCATGGGAACCAAAATTATTTTGTCTCCAGTAAGTCATAACAGAGAGTAGAGACTTTATGATTTAAATTGGACAACAGAGGACTAAATTGGACTAAAGATTCCAGGCAAAAAGAACAATTAATTAAAAAAAAATTCAAGAATTGTAACAGTAAATTCAGGTTATGGAGATGGACTTTGTACTCTTGGAGGGAAAAGTCATGTTGAATTATCTGACTTTTATAAAAGCCTTTTACAAGAATTGAATGCAAGTGGAAGTGACTAGAAAATTATGATCCATTGAATCTCTCCTGTCAGTGAAGGAGTAAGCATGACATCCTATTATCTGTAGGTCATAAGTGTTCACTAAATATATATGTATTTGTGGACCAACTTTTATGAGATATGTATTAAGTCATAAGAGCAAAGTCAGGATGAAAAATACCTACTGTTGCGATTCCTCCATCTTTGGCTATGCTGGGAATTCAGCAACATCTGAAAAGCTGTAACTTCATCACTAGAACTTATATGAATCAATTCCAGCTTAGAAATTCTATGAGTAAATGGCACCCCCAGTCTGACTGAAGGCGGAAAGTTAGCCATGGCAAGTGTAATATATACCAGTGT